TTTTTGGGGGTTTTATTGGGGGCTTTTTAGGGGATTTTTGGGGAATTTTGGGGGATTTTTAAGGGGAATTTTTTGCGATTTTTTGGGAGTTTTTTTGGCATTTTTTGGAGATTTTTTTGGGATTTTTGGGATTTTGGGAAGATTTTTTGGGGATTTTTTGGGGGAATTTTGGGAGATTTTTGGGGGGATTTTTTTGGGGGATTTTTGGGGATTTTTTGGGGGCTTTTTATGGGATTTTTTTGGGATTTTTTGGGGGATTTTTGGGGATTTTTTGGGATTTTTTGGGGATTTTTTGGGGCAGGAAGATGAAGAAGATGAAGATGATGATGATGAAGATGAAGAAGATGAAGAAGACGAGGAAGATGAAGAAGATGGAGATGATGAAGACAAAGAGGAAGATGAAGAAGATGAAGAGGGAGAAGACAATGAGGAACGTGAAGATGAAGATGAAGAAGATGAAGATGAAGAAGATGGAGAAGATGGAGAAGAAGATGAAGATGAAGATGAAGAAGATGACGAAGACAAAGATGAAGATGAGGAAGATGAAGATGAAGAAGATGAAGAGGATGGAGAAGAAGATGAAGAAGATGACGAAGACAAAGATGAAGATGAGGAAGATGAAGAAGATGAAGAGGAAGAAGATGAAGATGAAGAAGATGGTGAAGAAGATGAAGATGAAGATGAAGAAGATGACGAAGACGAAGACAAAGATGAGGAAGAAAAAGATGAAGAGGAAGAAGACAATGAGGAACATGAAGATGAAGAAGATGAAGATGAAGAAGGTGAAGATGAAGAAGATGGAGAAGAAGATGAAGATGATGAAGAAGACGAAGACAAAGATGAAGATGAGGAAGATGAAGAGGATGAAGATGGAGAAGATGAAGAAGATGAAGAGGAAGAAAATGGAGAAGATGAAGAAGATGGTGAAGAACATGAAGATGAAGATGAAGAAGAAGATGAAGATGATGAAGATGAAGACAAAGATGAAGAAGATGAAGATGAAGAAGATAAAGATGAAGAAAATGGAGAAGACAAATACAAAGATGAAGATGATGAAGATGAAGAAGACGAAGACAAAGATGAAGATGATGAAGATGAAGATGATGAAGATGAAGAAGATAAAGAAAATGGAGAAGATGAAGAAAACGAAGACAAAGATGAAGAAGATGAAGATGAAGATGAAGAAAATGGAGAAGATGAAGAAGATGAAGATGAAGAAGACAAAGACAAAGATGAAGATGATGAAGATGAAGAAAATGGAGAAGATGAAGAAGATGAAGATGAAGAAGATGAAGAAGACAAAGATGAAGATGATGAAGATGAAGACCACCCCCATCTCCCTCCCCCACTCACCAGTAGAAGACACAGCTGACCTCCAGCCAGGTGAGGGCGCTCCTGTCCTGCCGCAGCCACCGCAGCCCCTCCTGCGCCCACCTGGACTGAGACCCCGCCCCCACCACCCCCAGGCCACGCCCCTTCCCCCAGGTCACGCCCAGGTGCCACCCCCGCGTCACCGCCGACGTCACCGACGTCCCCAGCGCCGCCGCGCCCGACGCCGTCCGGGATTGGCGGACGCAGCGGCGGCCGGAGCGCCAGGTGGACACGGCCGAGGGTAAACGGCGCCGGACGTTGGGGTGGAGGGGGTCTGGACACAGGAGACAGCGGTGGTGGTCAGCGTGGTCATGGTGGTCATCATGGTCAGCGTGGTCAGCATGGTGGTCATCATGGTCAGTGTGGTCAGCGTGGTCATCATGGTCATCGTGGTTATGGTGGTCATCATGGTCATTGTGGTCGTGGTGGTCATCATGGTCAGCGTGGTCAGCGTGGTCATCATGGTGGTCATCATGGTCATCGTGGTCAGCGTGGTCAGCGTGGTGGTCATCATGGTCATCGTGGTTATGGTGGTCATCATGGTCATCGTGGTCAGCGTGGTGGTCATCATGGTCATGGTGGTCACCAGAGCCAGCCCGAGTGCCATCATGGTCATTGTGGTCATGGTGGTCATGGTGGTCATCATGGTCATCACGGTCATCGTGGTCATCATGGTCAGCGTGGTCATGGTGGTCATGATGGTCATGGTGGTCAGTGTGGTCATCTTGGTGGTCATCATGGTCATTGTGGTCACCCGAGCCAGCCCGAGTGCCATCATGGTCATCATGGTCATGGCGGTCATTTTGGTCACGGTGGTCAGCGTGGTCATGGTGGTCATCATGGTCATCATGGTTATCAGAGCCAGCCCGAGTGCCATCATGGTCATTGTGGTCATCATGGTCATGGTGGTCATGGTGGTCATCATGGTGGTCATCATGGTCATCGTGGTCATCAGAGCCAGCCCGAGTGCCATCATGGTCATCATGGCCGCCATGACCATCGTGGCCACCATGAGCATGGTCATCATGGCCACCATGGTCACCAAGGTCATCATGACCAGTATGACCACCATGACCAGAGCCATGACCACCATGTCCAGTCCCACCATGGTCACCATGACCACCAAGGCCACCATGACCATCACCATGGTCACCAGTCCCAGCACGCCCACCATGGCCACGCCCAACATGACCACTATGACCATGACCATGGTCACCAGTCCCACCACGGTCACCAGTCCCACCATGTCCATCATGTCCACCACGTCCACTGTGACCACCATGACCATGACGATGGTCACCAGTCCCACCACGGTCACCATGACCACCAAGGCCACCATGACCATCACCATGGTCACCATGTCCACCATGACCACCAAGGCCACCATGACCATCACCATGGTCACCATGGCCACCATGACCACTATGACCATCACCATGGTCACCATGGCCACCAAGGCCACCATGACCATCACCATGGTCACCAGTCCCAGCATGTCCACCATGACCATCACCATGGTCACCATGGCCACCACGCCCACCACGCCCATGCCCACCACGACCACGCCCACCATGACCACGCCCACCTCCCCCACCGTCCATGTCCAGCACCCTGCCCCAGGCCAGCTCCATGGTGGTGATGTCCAGCCCCATCCCCAGCGCGTCCAGCCCCGGCATCAGCGCGGCCGCAGAGCAGGCGCGGCCACGGCCGCGGTGACAGCCGGACATGGGGGAACCGGACACGGAACCGGACCTGGGACCGGACA